TGGGGGTGTTCAGTCTGGAGAAGAGGAGGCTGAGGGGAGCCCTCATCGCTCTCTGCAACTCCCTGAAAGGGGGTTGTGGTGAGGTGGGGGTTGGTCTCTTCTCCCAAGTAACCAGCGACAGGATGAGAGGAAATGGCCTCAAGTTGTGCCAGGGGAGGTTTAGATTGGAGATTAGGAAACATTTCCTTACGGAGACAGTGGTTGAGCATTGGAACAGGCTGCTCAGGGAGGTGGTGGAGTCACCATCACTAAAGTGTTCAAAAAATGTGTAGACGTGGCACTTCAGGACATGGTTTAGTGGGCTTGGGGGTGTTGGGTTGTTGGTTGGACTTGACGATCTTAAAGGTCTTTTCCAACCTTAATGATTCTGTGAATACAGCATGTGTGGTCCTGACTTGCAACTTCACCATGCCCGTCCGCAGCTGGTGGTTGAGCAGGGGCTGGGGAGAGGGAAGTCTGGAGGCTTGGGTTGAAGGTGGAAATGGTCAGACATGAAACACTGACCAACACACAAAAGAAATGCAGCTGAAAACCTCTACTGCTTTTTTTATTTCTGGTAACTAGTATGGCTGAGGGGAAGGTGACTTAAGGTACATTTCCTCTTTAAATCCAGTTCTAAAGCAAGTGTAATTTAAAATCTCTAAAGAGATTGGCTATACGACACTACTGTCGCTCTTTCTATTAGGACAGTAAAGTCTAAACTAGGAACAATGTCTTCTGGTTTTAATATTGCTTGGGTGTGGGTGTATTGCATTATATCCAGGAAATGCTGGCATGGTTAGCTGTCATGTCACTTGCTCTTCTGGTGTTGATCTCTGCCTAGTGCTCTGTGTCTTGTCCAAAACTGGACATCTGGATGGTATGGATGAATATGGATTCTCACTGATTTTTTTTTTTTTTTTTTTTTTTCAAAAAAAACCCCAATTTTTATTACGTGAATCTGTTGGCTTGAATTTTTAGGGTCCGTAAAATAGCCTTTCTTCAGCTAAAAGGCAGGTTGGTAACGGAAGCCTCGTGCTTGCGTGGAAACGCAAAAGAAAGTTGTGGTGTGTGTAATGCAAATAAAGGTTATTTGTTGCCCCACAGCCGTACTGTTTCTTCGGTGGCAAGACCAGATCTGTGCTTTGTGGGAGAGGAAGTGCACGTGGCAGCGTGCCATTTTCTGTGCTTCGGCTTAAGGGCTGGTTTCAGTGTTGCAGCAGTCTTCGATAGACCCCGGAACAGCCCTCGTGCTGCTATTAAAGCCGCTCTTCTTGAGCGCTCGTTGCATCGCCTTGGAGCCCAAGCGAGCTGCAGCATCCTCTGCTTTGGCTGCAACTTTTCCTGCTTCTCTGGCTGCTCTGTGCTGCAGCAGCAGAAAGATGCCCCAGCAGGGACCAGGTCATGACTTGAAAGGAACTTTAAGTAGCTCACCTCAGCAGGACTGGGTGCAAGCTCTGTGCAGCATCCTCGAGGAGGTTGCAGGCGGTATCTATCTCCCTCGCTCTTGCTTCGCTTGCCAAGTGCTGCAGGCTTCTTTCTGAACCCAGCTGTCTGGACAGCTTCTGTCTCCACATCGCTCTGAACCGTCTTTGTCGCAGGCTGGCGCGCGGTGCCGCGGCGCGGTGCCGTGGCGCAGCCTCACCAGGGGGAGCGCAGAATGCTTCCCCCCACCACGCCAAGTTGATGACTGGCTTCTGGCCGCTCAGAAATTTCAAATAAAAAGCTGTAATTATGTTTGGCAGCTATATATGCTGAGAACTTGTGGTCCTCCTTCTCTTCGTGGATATTTACGCCGTTAAAGACCCCCCAACCGTGGGGTCTGAACATCCTGAATCCTGGTAACTCCATACGTACAGATTGCCAGTTTAGACTGCCAGTCAAGGGAGGCTGCTGGCAGCTGGAATGAGAAAAGCTGGCCCTTATGCTTAAAGATGGAGATCCAAAGCGAGGGTGTTGCAGTAAGAAGTCACTGTGTCCGCTCAGAAATGAGATTTTTTTGTATGTTGTCCAAAAGGTATGCTAAGGTGTGAGGGATTCAGAAAGGAGGTTTCCAGTCCCGGTGGAGTAAGACTAGCTCTCATCATAAAATCAGCTGGATATTAGCTAAACATTAGGACAAAGAGACAATATTGGGGGCTTTTTTTTTTTAATCTGTTTTACAGAAACCTCAGTCAGAGACATTTTAAGCCAGGGTTTCTGTAGTGCTGCTTCTTCTGGTACACCCTGGGAAAGCGTGCGCTGTCGTTCGTGCAGTGCACCACCTTCCAAATGTATCGGGCAACATTTTTGATAGGCTCAAAGTGTTCAAAAAACATCTTCCCACGTGTGTTACCGCTAGGGTTTCCCTGTGTGCAGAGCCTGGCGTGTTAATCGGGGAAGCAGGAGTTCGCGTTCGCGGCTTTGTCTGCAGCAGCCATTCTGTGAAACGTAGCTGTGTCGAACGTCTCTCTCCCATGTGAGTCTGATACTCATGAGATTCGCTTCCCTCCCCTGGTCTGTGGTGCCTGGGTCAGGTTGCTGCAGCCTGTTTCGATAATATATAGCCTGGTCATTGGTTTCTGCTTTTAAAATCAGAAAACGATCATACAGCAGGCTGGAGATCTCACACCTCTTGTGCCTGCACATGCTCCTTCCGTTTCTGCTGCACCAGCGTGAGTTTGCTGTGCCCGTATGAGAAGAGCTTATGGGAAAGTGGTAGCGAATGGGGAGGGCTACTGTCTTGAGACAAAATCCCACATTTAAATTTTTGGGTTGAAGGAGAGAAATGGAACATAATTGTTCTTGCTTAATGGTTTGGTTTGGTTTGTTTTAACTGAAAAGCCAACATTTAAAAGCTAGGGGTTTTTTCCTCCCCTCTCCTATCCCAAAATCTAGCCTAGTTAAAAAAGCTTTGTATCTGATTGCCCCGCTGCGCAGAAAAGGGCAGCAGCCTGCTGAGGTGAGGGAATCGGGAAGTGAGGCCAGCAAGAAACAGGATGCGAAACCGAGGAGTCTGCTTTCATTTTCTAAGCCAACCTTAGGAAGGAAGGGGCCGCAACCCGAACAGCATCACAAGACCCTCGCCGCAGAGCAGTGCCTGCTCGGTTTCTGTTCTATGATGGTGAATGTTGCAGGGCTGCTCAGGAAGCGGCTTTTGTTATGGTGTAAATCTGTTGCCCGCGTGTTGGTGTGAGGAGGAGTAGGCGGCACCTGCGTGGTGGGGACAGTTAAAGCACTTGGTGAGGCTGAAACTCTCCTGGAGCCTTGCCCAGGGTCTCTGTATGCAGTCCCTGCTGTGCTGGCAGTGTAAATCCCCAGGTGGTCCGCGCCCAGAAGAGCTGACAGACCTGCCCTTTAGAAAGCCCTTAACTAAAATGGAGAAATAACTTGTCTAACAGGAGGGACATCAGGCTCCTGGAGTCATCCAACACGTATCTTCCCTGAGGTGAGGCACGACTGCAGCCAGCTTTGCCAGCGAAGGAGAGCTGTGGAGATGCTGCCCGGCTGTTGGTGCACACCCAGAGCCCCAGAGGACTCATATTGGGGGAGCAGTACCGCAGTGACCCAAGTTAAGAACGCTTCTCTGTACATACCATCTGTTCCTCCTGGGACCCCTATGGACTGCCCATACCCATCTTTTTCCCTCTTCAATCCTTAGCTCCAGTTTTCCTGGCTGTGTCTGGATTCTCCCAGACAGGACGTGCTCAGTGGGAGCTGATGTCATCAGTTGGCGATGGAATTAGGGGCTCTTGCTGTTGATATCAAAGGCTGTTGCTCTGCTCGGGGGGCTCTGAAAAGCCCAATTCCTGTAGCATTTGAAAGACGGGGGGTTCCTGAACACTTACTCTTTCAAGCTAGTCTTACAAATTGTGTGTGGAGGAAGGAGGTAAATAATAATTAAAAACAGACTCACCTGGTTTTCACTGCGTTAGGCTCTCCAGCCCGGCAGGTCTTGTCAGGCTCATTAGTTTGTATGGACTATGCTATCCAAACATCACAGCTCAGCAGGTGGGGTTGATCCAAACCAGACCCTGTATTGCCCCAGTCAGCCCAGCTCTGATGCCCGTCCTGCCCGTTGCGCCGGCTGCAGAGTGAATTGAGCCAGCATCTGCTTGTGGAGGCAGGGCACAATGTTTATTGACACGGAGAGGGATGCGAGTAAAGCCACAACATGTATGCAGGGCAAAAGGGCTGGATCTAATTCACAGGACGGTGAATTCCCTTTGAGGGTGGTCTGAGCTCCATGTGGAAGCTGGTGTGCGGCTGCAGCTGGGGTGTAATGCTCTCAGGGTAGTAATGCTGGTGTGCAGTTTGAAATCCCAGGTTCAGTCCCCAAAGGACCGGTCTGCCTCAGTCATAGCATTACACACATGTATCCAGGAATACTTTCTTGATCCTGCATAGGCAGAGGCTCTTTTCACAGTAACTGGGCAGTAAGACGCAGACCTGACCACAACTCCCACCTCCCCGGACCCCTGGGAACACAGGACAAGACAGGGAAGGCTCAGAAACCTTCTATTATAAAAATAAAACAGCGCATGGCGCAGTGTCACGCGTGAAGCTGCTGTGCCAGGCTCCAGCGCAGAACGTACCGATCAAAGGCAAATATAAAAAAGACAGACCACTGTTAAACAGTCGCAGGGCAACATCCTTAAGGCTGAACAATCCCAGCTGAACTGAGCTGATGTAAACCAAGGACCCTCCTTATTCAGAGCCCCAGCAAGGCAGTACTGGTGTGGCAGGAGCTGGGAGCTCTGCTGTGGCTTACAGGCTAGGTTAAGCCCCCAGATCATCTCCTTTTCCCTGGTGGCAGGCCTGAAATGTATGAACACGGCTGGGGTTCCCATGGGGGCAAGTGCTTCTGGTCTGATCTCATCAGTGAGAGGGCTTCAGGTCTGGGGGCTCTACCGCGGTCACCTCTGCCCTGACCTTATGGACCCCTCTAAGCATCCTCCAGAGAGCTGGGCCGCCTCCCTTCCCTTACTGCCCACAGGCTCTTGGGTCCCCTTTGCTTTACATCAGCTCAGTTAGCCCCCGGCTCAGCACTGCTCCGTGCCGTCTCTGCTGGGCTCCAGGGAGGGGTGGGCTGGCCCCGCTCATGCCAACTTGGTCCCACTCTCCACCTCCTTGTGCACCCACAGCTCCTTGTGCTGCTTGCGCCCGAAGCCCTCGTCGTAGTTGCCTTTACTCTTGAAGAGCTGCTGGAAGTGGGGCTTGCAGTAGAATTCCCCGTGGAGCGCCGCGTAGCTGCCCAGGCTGGGGAAGGAGAGCAGGGTTAGCTGGGCTCGGGGCAGTGGGACTTGGCTGCAGTCTGGGGGGGAGCGTGTGAGGCTCAGGGGCACTGGAACAGGGGAGGAAGGAGGAGGAGAACATGCAGAAGGGGACCCTTAGAAAGGGTCAACTGCTTATTTCAGCTGGCTCAGGACATTGTGGGCTACAGTGAGCAGCACTAAAGGTGTGTAAAGAGGAGGGTCTCACAGGGAAGCTCAGCTTTGGCTCTGCGTTATCTAGGAGGAAGCTCTGGCTCAACTCACTGTGGGGTGCTCTCCCAGGGAAAAAACTCTTCTTCCATACTAGGTGGGATTTAGCTGAGACTTGGGACCAGGGGGGCAGATAAAAGCCATTTTTTGCTGTAGCAAGTGGGCTGGGGGTCTCTAGCTACCCCACAAGAGGAGCAAGGGCTGGGATGGGTGGGCGGGTGCGCTATTTGGAAGGGGCATCCCCCACCCAGGCGAGGGAGCGCCACGGTGACACCCATCCACATCACCGTCAGCAAGCACCGCGGTGGCCTCCTGGCCCGGCTCACCTGAGCTTGGTGTGGCAGTGCTTGCAGCAGAAGCAGGCGTTGTGGAAGACGAATTTATCCGCCACCAGCCGCTCCATGGGGTAGACGGTTTTCTGGCAGGCAGTGCACATCTCCTTCACTTGCGCCTTCAGGCTGAAGGACTGGGCAAGGGGAGACCAACGGGAGAGAAGGTGAGGAAGGGGTTTGGGAGATCCTGCGCCTGGCTCCTGCCACAGCCCTCTTCCCTAACGTCTATGCTGCCATTTGGTGGAGCACTGGTTGGCGTGAAGCCCCATCTCCCCTCATCCTCCCTGTACTGATGCTGGGCTGGACTGGGGCTTCGGCCTTAGGCTTTCTGTCCTTCCCCCCTTGCTGTGAATCAGTAGGATGCGGTAAAATTGCAGGTACCTTGGAGCGCTGCACCGTGCTGCCTCCTGAGTTGTTCTTTGCCTCCTAAGACGGGAAGAAGAGAAATCAAAATGAGAGCCTGGACTGACAAACCTGGCGCTAAGGAGGCACGAGGAAAAGACATTATGTGTTGCAGAGAGAGAACTAGGCACCAGGAGGCTGTGGGACTTCCCCGGCACCATGGGGGCAGAGCAGCCAGCTCTCATCCAGCACTGCGCACTGAGACCTCAACCTTGGACACTGGACCGTGTCCTGGCTTTGTTTCTTCCGTGGCCAAGGTACAGCTGACCTCTCTTGTGGTGGTTAGCACCCAGACACAGATCTAGGAGATGTCACAGCATAGGCATTGCAGAGCACAGCCCCGGGGTGACAACCCTCCCTTGCTCCCAGCAACTACTGACGAGTAGCTCTCACCATCTGCAGGCATCGACTACTGTCCTCGGCTACCCAGTGCCACCGCCACGCGTGTCTCCGGCCGCGGAGGGCTGGCACTAGCCTCTCGGGAATAACAGCAGCAAAGCAGAGGAGCCCTGCTTCCGCATGCCTGGGGCACCCCTGGGGCCTGTGGTGGGCAGAGCGGGGGACTGGGCTTTGCTGAGCTGCTGCGGCACAAGCCCCTGGCAAAGCTCCCGCTGTGACCTGCGCTGGCACATCGTCGCCTGCTGGCTTGTACAGCTACCAGCAGCAGCTCTGCTTTGGTGCAAGATGCTGCTCGTGCTCCTTCTGGCCAACACTTACAGGGCTGGAGAGTGATAATTAACCCTTCTCTTGCTGGAGGTGTGCGCAGGGCTCTAGCAACGCTGCCAGTGTGGGTCTTTGCCTGCAGTCGGAGGGCGGTGGTCTGCCAGTTCCCCCAGGGCATAACTGGGGTGCCCCTCGCTCTCATGGAGCATGTTGTGCTGGTTCCCCCCCAGCGGATGTTTTGTTTCTGAGTTCCTCAGACCGACAGCAGCCCGTTCACGCCGCTGCGCTGCGCAGGAAACGCCTGCGCCGTAAGCGAGATCGAAAAGCCTTCTCGAGTCCCCGCAGGCTCTGTGTGTGTGTGTGTGGAGGGCAGGAGGGGCGGTGGGGCATGGCCAGAGTCGAAGACCTGCTCCGTGGGGTTCTGCAGCGCAGTGGGGACGGATGTTACTCAGACCCTGCAGCTGCGGGAGGAGCAACGGGGCAGAGAGATCCAAACACCGAGATGCCTGTACCTCTGCCCCCAGGATTTCAGAGCAGGGTCTCGGTGCACGCTCTCCCATCTGCAGCTGCAACAACTCTTCTCCCAAATCAGCTCCA